AAGGTTCCACTGTATAGTTAGGGACCCTATATTATCAGAAATGGAACAGCTAGTCCTACCAGATAGTGCTAGGACTGACAGGAGCTGAAATCCAGAACATCTGGACAGCATTAGGGTGCCTGTTCCTATATACTAATACCTACCTCTTTTTCTAAATGTAGCTATTTAGTTCATCATGCAGTTCATCATGTAGCCAAAAAGGAAGGTAACTGTAAACTTATGGGAAATACAAAGTTTGCAATCCTGTTTCATAATCCATAACAGCATGTAACGATGATAGTTATAGGGAAAAATGGAAATTTGGGAATGGTGACATAATTGAACAAAGTATCCTAGAAAAAAGCAGACCTGAACAGGAATATTATGCACACCAACTTCTTGTCCGCTTGTTAGTATTATAATTTATGTAAAGAAGGCAAAATCAGAAAATAGGCACTTAAGTTTTATATTATCTACAACAGCATTGCAAATCTTCCTATTTCCATAGTTAATCACATAATCCTTCAGTTCGTGCCAGGATCATAGAAATTTAACTTCAGTGTTTTTTTAAAAGGAAATATGAAAATGAATAATAAACACATGACTTAATTTACAACCATATTTAAACTCTAGCATTCACTATGAACTCTAGCACCCACTATGAACTTGTTCAGATATGATTTAAACTACAAGAGGCCAAAATTTAATTTCAGAGACCCATCACCTGTCTTATCAGAGTCCAGGTTGTACCTGGAAGATAACAATATCATGAAAAGCCTTCCAGACATTTGCACTTACTGCTGACATGATGAGTTCTCCGCCTAAATTCTGGATTTCAGCTTTGACTTGACTGCAGATTTTGAGTTGATGGGAGTAGAGCTTGATTTGTTCCAGGTAAGCGAGTAAGTCTTGCTTGCATGACAAGTCTGGACACTAAAAAATAAAAGCAAAGATGCCTAGTAGTTTCATTTGGATCAGGGATCCAAAAGAAAAATGAGTTAAAGGGGTGCATAAATCCAATGGTTGTTTTTTTTTCCCATTTTTCTTTTTTCATTTTTAAAACAGATATCCATATTATCTTAAACTGATTTCACAAGAAACTCTTACACATTTCAGAAAAGGTTTGCTAGGTGCCTTGTGGGGAAAGGTCAGGGAGATGGAAACTGAATATTCCTTGAGGGTGAGGAACTAATTGGGCTGTCCCTTTGAGCCTTGGTCATTTCACAGTCCTGTTTCCTCCCACTGTCTTTCTTCCAAATATCCCAGTTCTCTAATGCTCCTTATCAAGATTTATGTAACAAAACATTGTCTGCTTGACCTCAGATGCTGGTGAGCATCATAAATTTACAGTTGCTATTTTGTATGGCTGCCAGTTTACTTATCTGATAGCATTATGCTGTTTTTGCAAGAGCTACATAATAATGAATTCCACGTTGTTTTATGCTTCTAATACCTATGTGGTGGTGGTAGTGTTTTCACTTGTTTTTGGTGCCTGGCACAGCAAATACAAATGTCCCCTTTAGGAATAAAATATTATGGAGATGAATAATCACCCATACTTCTCATTCTGCAAAACATTATGAAAAGTGTCTTCAGTGTATGCTCTTCTGTTTCAATAAGTGAAAGAGTTTCTGTGAACTGAATATGAAAAAGACATCTGACAGCATTTGCACACGCAGCTGCTTCCACTACTCAATCTCTCCAAGACAGTTTGAAACTGACCCTCCACGGTCTTTGGTTCTGCTGAAGTCACACAGAAAATGTGGAGAGATCACCGTGAGGCCATCAGCACTTCCTCCAATAGATCAGTGAGAGATTGTACAATTAAAGAAATAAGCAAGTCATTGGATGAATATAACAAGGCCACCTTTTCCTTATTCCTTGTTAAATGTAAAACCTCCCTATGAGCTTCCAGGGCAAAATGTGAGAATACTGGCAGCTTTACAGCTCAGGAGCTGGTAGACAGGAGAAACAAGAGATCCCACCTATGAGAGGAAGAACTCTGCAGCCCTGGAAGGAAACATCAGCCTTGATTTCCTTTCTCATAAACTGTAATAGAGCCAGAAAACTATAACATTTCAACTCTTCAAATTAGCAACTGCATGATTGCACGGGTCTGGAGCTGGTTCGGAACCAGCTCAAAGGCTCAGGGCTAAGTTCCCTGAATGCAACTTTCTTTGGAAAGGAGGAAAAAACAGCAGCACACATTTAATATTGTCAGTAGAAGGATTTGAGAGACAGGAAACAAGATTATTTAATATTTGGGATACAGTTCTAAAATCTTTATAATTTCGTATGTTATTATATTTTCCTTTGGAACAAGATTTGCCTTCCTTTCAATGAATGTCATTGAAACAGAATTAGCAATCTGATCTTTTTCACCATAAAAAGTAATGACTAGGTAGAGCTGCCATATTTAGTAAAGGCTGTGGCAGAATAATAATTTTCATTGGAAATAGACTGAGATCCAAAACGCAGAGCTTTACATACACTCTTCCTACAGAGGAGGCTTCTCAAAAAGCTATGATCCTCTACCCAGACTATAGAAAAGTTCTACAATGAAAGATCCCTGATGAGAATAAAGAGACATGCAACCATTTTGAGAAAAATCATAATATTTTCCCAACTACTTCCTTCATTTTCCCTTACTGGCAATTATGGAAAAGTAGAAACTGTTTATGCCACTAAAACTAAAATGTTATACATGTCTTCTCAGTAATATACTCCATTGAACTAAGATACTTTGTTCCAGGTAATTTATTTACACCCAGCAATGGAGTAAAATACTTACCTTTGTCTCCATCATTTTTCAGAAAAGAGACCTACACTTAGCTTATTCTTGTGTGTGTGTGTGTGTGTTCATTTCTGTGTGTGCCTGACTCAGTGTTGACTCCTGGCAACTGCCTGGACTAGTCCCTGCAGTTTTCTTGGCCAAGTTTTTTGGAAGTGGTTTGCCATTGCCTCCTTCCCAGGACTGAGAGAGAGTGACTCTTTCATAAATAACTCAATGTGGCGAACATACCTAATACTCCTTCCTCCTCCTATTTTCCCCACAACAACAACCCTGTGAAGTGGGCTGGGCTGACAGAAAGAGTGACTGTCCTAAAGTCACCCAGCTGGCTTTTTGCCTAGGTGTGACTAGAACTCATGGTCTCCCAGTTTCTAGCCTGATGCCTTAACGACTACACCAAACTGGCTCTCATAGCCTATTCCTAGATCATTACAATCATCCTATTCCCTGGAAAGGGTGAGATTCATCATCAGTGACATAATATTCAACAGAGAAGTAATAGCAATGGCAGGAATTGGAAAAGAGATCTCAGTGCTGTTCTCCAATGAACAACACAGAGAGCTGCTGAGAACCTTAAATGGATTATAATTGCACACTTCTGGTGACTGGAATTGGAGCTAAGTGGAAATGGTATTGTCATTTGACATTTTGCAAAACAATAAGAGGGAAAAACTGCTACATATTCATAATTCAAAATGTTAAATATAAAATCAAACAACAGTTTGGTCTAGTGGTTAATGCTGCAGGCTAGAAAGCAGGAGACTGTGAGTTCTAGTCCTGCCTTAGGCATGAAAGCCGGCTGGGTGACTTTGGGACAGTTGCTGTCTCTCTCAGCCCAGCTGACTTCACAGGGTTGTTGTTCTAGGGAAAATAGGAGGAGGAAGGAGTATTAGGTATGTTCGCTGCCTTGAGTTATTTATAAAAATAAGGAAGACTGGATAAAAAAAACAAACAGAAAACTCGTCTGACTATATACTGTATTAAGTAAATCTTGCTTCAGTTTCATCTCAGCATTTTTCCAAGGAAATAAAATTACTTACCTCACTCTACTGATTTTAGAATTTTCAGCACTAAAAATCATGGATGATTTCAACCCAGGGTGAAATATACACTGGAAATATAGATGGGTCTGACTGCAGCACTGATTTCAGTGGGGTCTCCTTGACTAGCAAATAAAGTGAAACTGAATTTATACTATTCTAAACAGCCAGACAACTATCTTAATTGCCCTGATTGTACTTATCATGATCACATTACTGTGATTTTTGTCTCAATCATCTTAACATATTTGAAATCTTTTTATGGTAATTTACTGATATGCCACAAGATAGAATCCTAATAAAAAATAATGTCTTAATTAGAACTTGCTTTTTAAGTTTCTGGCTTCTACAATATTGTAATAAAAGCATAAAGTGGATTTTTATAGCTCTGGGTGATCAGCTTTTTTTTCCAAACTGATTTCTTGTTAAGCATTAAGGAAGATTGTTTGATGTTTCTTCAACAGGCACTAATGTGTGAAAGTTTTCCTCCTAAGTACATAATTGAGTTGGGGGGGGGATGGGTGAGCGGTGTGAAATCACTGCATGCAAAGTTTCTGGTGTGAGAAAATAAGGTAGCTGGCAATTTTGCATTGGAATCCAGGTAAATTGCTGAACTGAACCAATAACCATAACCAATTGGATTTGCAAACCATTGCAAGCTGTTCCCTATGGAGGAAAACATCTATATTGTTCTCAACAAGTGTGGAGCGCAAACCACTTTCCAGAATTTTCAGGAACTCGCAAGGAGATAGGAAAAGGGGTAGGAAATGCATACAGTTTCCTCCTGGTACAAAAAGGTGCAAGATGAAAAGAACAAGAGATGAAAATTGTATTTAAAGTAAAATAATGGCCCATGTACAATCGAACGCAGGTGCTACAGGAAGACAGTTCCTAGTGCAATCAGTCTGGTTTCCCTCCACAAGAAGAGAGACAGAAAAAGCAGCAGGAAAATATGAGACCAAGCTGTATGGATTCTCAGACATGGAAACGGCACAATAAAATAAAGCTTTGAGGCACGAGGGAAGGAAAGAAAGTTATCTTAATGGTTTTATTCATTAATTATTGGAACATTTGTATCTTGCCTTTCAGTCAGGGTATTCACGAACCTTTATTAGCCTAAGAAAAGGACAAAGAGTTTATTAGTGAAATTATTCTTGATTTTACTGTTTAACATCTTTTGGCTCTGATAGCAACAGCAACAATCCAGAGAGGTAGAAGTAAGAGAGCAAAAGGCCCTGGTGTTTTCTCAAGGAAGCACTGAGGTAGTGCTGCCAAATGTCTTACTTCCTGGGGTAGTGAAAAGCATCTAAGAGTATAATTAATACAAGAAATTGGCAGTATCTACTGAACATAGAGTAAACATTGATTGCCAACATGTTTTAAGTGATTTTCGGGAGACTGCGTGATTCTGGCATAAATTATGATGGGGTTTCTGTGTTCACGTAGAAGTTAGAAGAAGCTAAAACCCTAGGAGAAAACAATTCTATGCTGCTGAGAAATATAACCAAAAGATATCAGACTGTAAAATCTGTACTTGTCAAAAATTTTATTGAGAGTTATACATGGATGCAACTTCTTCCTATGTATAGCTTCCCATGGATTTCAAATCGGATTTGCACAGCCAGAGTTGGAAAAAAAATCAAGTAACCCAAAGCTTATTGTCACCAAGAGACAAGAATTATATTTAAAGTAAAAATAACACCCCAAGTACAATCAGGCTTGGGTACTACAGGAAGGCAGTTCCTGGTATAATCGATTTTCTTTCCCTCCACAAGAAGAAAGAGAGAAAATGCATCAGGAAAGCATAAGAGAATTATGCATGTAAGACAAAGCTGTATGGATTCTCCCTCACTTCACCAGTGGAATTCTGGGTTTGAGACATGGAAATTGCAAAATAAAAGCCTTATTTTGAGACACTCATGGTACAAGGCAGGACGAAAGAATGGTTTATGTATAGTCTTATTAACTTTTGCCACATTTGTACCTTGCCTTTCAATCCAGGTTTAATCCATGAGCCCTTATTAGTCTTAAGAAAATGACAGAAGCTTTTTTAGTGAAATTATTTCACTAATTATTTCAACTGGAAAACAGTAGAAATATTAGAAGAAGCCAGACTGAAAAATGCAAGAGAATTCTTTGCAGGGCACTCCAACCAAGCATTGATCAACAGACTCAGACTTACCCTATTGATGGATTTATTAAAAGGCATATCCAAAGAACTAGCTTGAGTGCATCCGTTCAACATTGCACGTTCACCCCGTCACACAACAAAGAACCAACTCAACAATTACAGGAAAAGAATATCACCTATCAGACATCAATGCCAGCAATCACGTAGGAAGTAACCAACACAAAGACAGAACCACCATCACTTGCAAAGCAACATCTGCCCACAGAACCACCTATGCAAGTATGTTCAAAGCAGGCAAGACAGAAGAATATATAATCCCACACCTCCAAAACTCCTGCATTGATGATGCCACCTAGAAGAGTAATGAAACATCTGCAACCCTCAAACCAAGCTTGGAGAATCCAACAATGTAACATGTCAATTCTGAGCCACGCATTCAACTACCACGACAGTAATTAATCTGTCTAACACTATTGTAATGTGTCAATTTCTTTAAACAGAAATGAGAAGTGACGTCGTTCCTGTATATGTTTAAAATATATCCTGCTAAAGGAAATGTCTTATAAGATGGAGCTAATGTTAAATCACAACATCCTTTTCCCCCACAGGAAATAATCCATATTGCCTACTTCAATGGTTTCACAGTTCTCCATTCTGATGGTCTGAGATGGCATGAAACCCAAATAAAAGTCATTCACTTGAAACTGTTCTACTTTATGAACTGGAAAAGGTCAAAGTTATGCAACACTGAGTCTTCATTATAGACTGATTGCTTATTTCAAGCACACTTTCACATTAGGAGCTACATGAGAGCGGAAAAAAAAAGAATTCATTTTTTTTTACTTGGTTTATGATGGAGGTGTTGACTGGAAGGTGGTCTCAGGCTAACAGAGCTGTGCTCTGAAAGGTACTATGAATGATAAACTGTGTTCCACTGAAATGACATTATTAGCTTTGGCAAGAAGACTAAACAATTCAGCTATCTCCCAGTTTTCTCAGCCAGGAAAAAAAATCTTTGAAAAAAATCTTTGTTTAAACTGCAGAATAATAAAACATCTAGCCCACAGTTCACTGGCATGCATGCTCATTGCTATGGGAAGATGTGCATATAGTGGGGAAAGATAATCAGGAACAATGCCAAGCCACTAGTTCAGTCGAGGTCTCTGTACTCTTGGGCGGCTGATTTGTGTGCTGTCAGTTTTTTGCCAGGCTACCAGTTCAACATGAGCAGCTGGTTCAGGGTTGCAAATGTACTCATGAGTTTTCAGCGAACAAGGCTCTAGGTCATTATTAAGGACAGGGACATAAAACTTCTTTTACACATATATCTAGCCAGAGGAGAGCAATGGTCTGTATGTCACACACCCTTGACAAAGCAAGAGAAGCCATTAAAGTCCAGACTGTGAGTTAAATGTGTCCCATGAGTTAAACCATCTTTAGTAAGAACATACTCAAAATAATATTTATTTATTTATTTATTTATTTATTTATTTATTTATTTAACAAGACTTATAGCTCGTTCCAATCCAAATGGACTCTAGGTAGGATACATCCAAGTCCAAAGAAGTGCAATAATATAGACAGACAGACAGACAGATAACCAAAATCAGCAATTAAAAAAAACAACAACAGCATCAAAGGCACAATTCAATTAAAATAAGGTCCAAATCCCCACTGGAACAGTGTTGCTTCGATTTGTTTTCAGAATACCTGTAAAATAAGAACTATCCATACTACTAACCTACCTTGTCTTCTGTTTTTCCTTATCACACTTCTCATGTTTTGTCAGCCCTATCAGTTAGACCAGACTAAGGAACAGACACTGTGTAGACCTAAAGCTACTTTTGTTAGAATGGCTATAGTAACAAATCTTGCAGGTCTGAATGTGCTTCCCTTCTCCTCTGGTTTATCTACATGTGAATTAAGGAGTGGTCTGCCTGAGGCATTTTTGTAAGGCACTTTCTTGGTAATGGATCTTCCCTCTGTCCATCAAAGCCATCCTCTATGTTTACCCCATGTTTCACTTTAGCTAAATTCCAGGATCAAAAACAGGCTTGTAGTGACAAAACAGGGAAGTAAGATAGAAAGTAAAACCTTATAAGGTCCCATCTCTACCTTATAAGCAAATAAACCCATGCAAGTTTAATAAATGTTTGTATCTCACTTGGTCTTGTATAGGTCTTTATTTGTTTTATTTATTTGTATAGGTCTTTATTTATTTTATTATGGTCTTTATTTTTAGCAGAACATGACTATGAAAGGACATTTAATTCTTGCTATACTTTACAAGAAATTAGAGCATTTTTATCTTATTCTATTTTTATTTATTAAAAAACTCTATTCCAATTTATGTTTGTACTTTAATATAAATGAAATTGAAAAAGTAAGGTGATAGCATTCCTGTGAAACAAGAGGTATATTCTGAAGGCAATTATAGGGTTTAAAATTCAAGTTACCAAGATAATTTTAGCAAGATGCCACTTAATTAACTAGTGCATGTGCTTCTGGTTTAATAATTCATTCTGCAACATGTCAGCTGTAGTAATTCCTGGGTACCTACTTGACAAAGCAAGTAGGCACCTGACAAAGAATATAAATAATACAATAGTATTTGGAGCATGGAGTCCATTGTAACACACAACATGTTATGCTCTCCCTGTTAGCTTACCTGGTTAGAAATGAGCCTTGCAAATGTATCCATTCTAGATCCTGCCTCTGAGATCACTTTAGCTGCATTAATCACATCGGATGTATTCTTCAGTGGCCCTCTGCCCCTTTAATTAAAACAACACATATATAATGAATATTAAGTATCTGGTACTGTCTTAGAATAAATATGAGAACACAGTTTCTTTTATTTCTCTAAGAATGTCTCTGTCACCTTTGAAAACAAAAGTTTCCCAACAGGCATGTCTGCAAGGGCTGATGTTGACAAAATCAAGGCGGTGGCTGCAACCAGCAATCAAATCTCATCTATTTTATGTG